CAAACGCTTACAAAGAACGTAATCAGCTCTTACATCGTCAGGAAGATGGCTACCCTTACAGGTGATATACTCTGACTGGTCCCACCATGGCACAGCTATGAGAGCTGGACAAAGTAAAGAGGAAGTATTTTGTGACCTCATCTGCTTTATAGCATTAAAAAGTGGTAAAGCACTATTCCAGAGCTCTCTCTCCGGCACATCCGGAATTGTCCATCTGTCGCACAGTGTGGGGTCTATTCTAGTCGTCACCTTGCTTGCCCTTCATTCTTAAGGCCTGTCCGGCCCCTCCCACAAACAGGTCAGCCACTGGTCAGCTTGTCTAAATCTCCTCCCCGCCACCAACCTCCTTACTTTAAACTACTTTTTTGGCACTACCGCTGGAAATGAGTAATGGCTGAAAATTGCTTACAAACACTTGCAAAGCTACAGTAAACAAAAAGCAGAAAGCTCCCCTCACACTGGTTTAAAGTCGCACTGGATTTGTTGGCTAGTTGAATGCACTGATCTGAAGGTTTTCTTGGAAAGTCTTGACCCCTTGTGCACATTCCCGCCCTGTTTCTGACTCCCGCTCTCTGTAGTGTACGCACCATTTTCCCTTCAGGACCGTTTTATGCATTCCAGATCTACACCCACCATCTCTCATCCCAACCCCGCCCCTTCATCCCCGCGGCCCTATTATCTCACTATGCAGACGTGACACAGTACACACCAGCTAGAATGCCAAACTGCTCTGTACTTTCTGCCCCATACCATGCAAATTTATATTAGACCATGTGACACAGCTGTGTCCACTCGTGACTGTAAGCTAGGTTTTGAGTAACACTGCCTTTCACAGCATTCAAGCCGCAAAATCTCAATTGTAATACAGCCTAGACATACAATCTGCTTTACTCAAAACAACCCAGAGCTGTATTGTGTGCCGTGGCAAATTTTCACACAGAAAAACATAACAGGTTTCAAAATACAAAGAATATTTCCTCATATTTCAGCACATGGGCTAAAAGACAAGCTCATGCAAACTCAAAGCCACCCTGAAACACCACGCTTTATGGATATCGCTGCCGTTATTCAGCTGTGCCAGGGTGTGAGTGTATTAATAGGATTGTCTGGGTCTGACACTGTGGACATGACAAATACCAAAACACTGCAGACAGACCCTGCCTGTGTTTCTCAGTTGACCGTTCAGGGGCAAAGGACAGAAGGTCAGCTTTGAGGAGCGTTGAAATTGCACGCATCGAAACACGCCAAATGAACTGGTTTTTAGTTACACGTTTGAAAAGAGGCTCATGCCACCCCAAAACTTGCCCTTTTTTATAAAAAAAAAAATATGAAGCAACCATTTTGCTTCTTGATTGTCCTGGGAGTTAAGAAAGAAAGCCAGCATCTATAGTTTCTTAGTTAATTTTATCTTTAGCAAATACTACTGGATCTTTACTGAAATCTATTTAAGGTCCAACAATAGAAGCTTTCCTCATGGGAATTGAACCTGCATCTTCTTGGTCACAGTCTTAGATCCTTCTCCACCCTTCTACACTGGCGGCAGGATGCAGCGCAGTGTTTGCACAGGTCTGCACTATCGTCTTCCGTGCAGCCCCCGTGCAGACACCCGTCCAGCTGTGAAGCTCATTACTCATCGCGAGGCAAATGGCAGGAAACGAGGGACTTGCGGAGTCCCTGTAGGCCACAGCTGAACGTGCAAAAGCACATGGACAGACCCACCAAGCTCTTTGGTTTAAGTGCTATCCGCATCTCTTCACCCCTTTTCTTTCTCTTGAAAACAAACGATCATGCACATCAAAAACAAACAAACACAAAAAAAAAAAAACAAAAAACTTGGAAAACTTGAGATTCTGATGGGAGTTTCCAGTCTCGCACTTCTGCGGTTATTGTGAAATGGGCTTCCCAGCAGTTCAAATTCATCACATCACCTAATAAGCTTCAGTTGATCATAAATTTGACTATAACAAAGAGAAGTTGGAAAATGTACAATAATTAAAAAAAAAAACATATATTTCTTGGAGGGAGATGGATCACCTTCACAGAAATTGGCCTGAAGCTAAATTCTCACTTACAGTCATAACTATTCAAATCTCCGGTTCAGATTTTCAAACTTCTGCTGCACCCCCCCTGTCCACCAACGCCACCACCGCCGCCCTGATGTGCACGTTCAGCTATCTCCAAACTCGCGTGCGCCAACACGCCACTGTTTCCGTCACCCACGACACTCCCAGCCCCCGACCGGGCTGACGCCATGCGGTACGTGCAGACAGCGGAGCAGCACAGTTCTCTCTCCTCGTGCCGACCAGCTGGTCAGTAGGCACATACTGAATGATTTAGACTCGAAACATGCTGGACTGCGGCCCAAAGCGGTTGCTGATTAAAAGGCCACCAGAAGAAAACTACTACTTACCCATCGCCAACTTTAAACATATATAGGGCCACATCAAAAAAAAACCAAAAAACGATATATTTTTTATTCACCGTTTTTAATTAATTGTTTTTGAGCTGGAATCTTAAGGAACTTCATGTTCTAGATTTATCTTACATTTAACTATTAATTTAATTTATATATCCAGTTGCAACACCACAGATGAATATAAATAATTAATATACATTTAAATATTAAACCAAAAAATAATACTGCCAAATTTTTTATGCAAGTTTTAGTCATTCGCACGTACACTTTAATCACACAAATATTCAATTCATTCACATACATTTATGAAGTTGCTTTACATAAACCAGGCGCAGTAACTGTTCTGCAAGTACGTGTCACCGCGCATGCAGCTTCCCTCAGTAAATGGCCGTGTGCACTTTGGAACCCGATTTGGCAACAGGATAGACCCCAGCAAGATCCAAGGGCAACGTGAAGGTTACTCCAGCAAGGTCAGGGACTGGGAGACAGCAGGAACCACTCTGCCGGTATTTCGGGATATTTCGCTCGGGAGAATTTGCCATAACCAAAGTTTTCCGAATTCTCTGTCCAGAGAGTCGCAGAAAAATGGGGTTATAGAAAATAGGAAGGCAGCTTTTACAAGTGCAACAAGTACGGAGGTGGACACCCTTTGGGTTAAACTGCTATTGCAGTCCTGTAAAGGAGACTGAAGCATAAACTATAACCGACAACACAACAAAAAGTGGTATTGATAAAGAAGGAAAAGAAAAACTTCATATAATAACCTATAAAAAAAAATTCATCTGAAATACAAAGGTGACCGACTGCGCCACCTGGTGTTGGCACAATGAAAATGACATTTGCCTTTTTTTAGATGTGGCTTTTAAAAAGGATGATGGGAAATGTATTTGAAATCACAGTTTAAAATTCAGACGAAATACAATATTTACAGCTCAAGCAGGGAGCAGGTACAAACAGCAAAACTATGTAGACCACAGAAGTGAACAGATTAAAAAGAAATGGGAGGGGGCATTTTTAATCAGGGGCTGAATCTGACATGCCTGTTTTTCTCAGTACATCAGAGTAACACAGAGCCCTCCAGTTATTGGCACCCTTTGTAAAAAGATTTGCAAAAAGGGGGGAAAAAAATCCACCTTTTGGTGAAATAAATTTAATCAAAGAAAAACAAATCCTTCATCAAGAAATAAATATTTTCAACAAAAACACATGCCACTATTGGCACCCCAGCATTTAATAGTTTGCCTCCCTTTGCCAGTATAACAGCTCTGAGTCTTCTCCTATAACATTTTATAAGTTTGGAGAATACAGAGCAGGGCATCGGAGACCATTCTGCTTTACAGAAACTCTCCAGGTCACCCAGGGTTCTAGGTCCTCCTAGGTCTTCTCCTGCACTCTCCTCTTCAGCTCAGCCCACACCTTTTCAGTGGGGTTCCAGTAAGGGGACTGAGATGGCCATGGCAGAAGCTTGATTCTGTGGTCAGCTAACCATTTTTATGTTGATTTGGACATGTGCTTAGGATCATTGACCTGCTGGAAGATCCAATGATGGCCCCCGTTTTAGTTTCCTGGCAGAGGCAGACAAATTTTGATTTAAAATGTCCTGGTGTTCCATGGAGTCCATAATCTCACATACCCTCATAAGGTTTCCAGGGGAAAACAGCCCCACATCACTGAACCGCCACCATATTTTACAGTTGGGATAAGGTTCTTTTCATTATAGCCAACCTTCTTTTTACGCCAAACGCACCTTGAATGTTTATTGCCAAAAAGTTCCATCTGTAATCACACTATAGAACATGGTTCCATTCAAAGTTGTAGCAATTCACAAACTCCAGGTGCTTAAGTTTGTGGTTAACTGACAGAAAAGGCTTCTTTTTGACATACCTCCCAAATAATCTGTTAGCTTGAAATCTGGTGTCAGATGGTGGTTTTGGAGACGCGGCAACCCCAAGATTTTACTTGGTCTTATAATTGACCAACAATGAACTCTGGGGATTTTTTTTGCCTCTTACGACCCTCCGCACCCCATGTGAGAGCAAAATAAACTTGGGTCCTCTTCCAGGCAGGTTTGTAACAGTTCCAGTTGATGCTCACATTTTATTATAACAGTAGAAATTGGCATTTTCAGGTGAATAGCTATTCTTTTATACCGATTCCCTGACTTATGAATGTCAACAAACACCTTCTCTCATTTGGCTTGTGTGTTCTCATCTTTCTCATGTTCATGGATGACTAAGAGAATTTGGCCTCCTCCTTACCTCATATTTGTACCCCAGTTAATCAGGAAGTCATGGACTACAGCTTGAAGATCCCTACACACCCCAATCAACCCAAAGAATGCAATTTACATGGGAAACACTTCAGTTACATTGCGTTCAATATAATTTCCAAGGGTGCCAATAATTGTGGCAAGTGATTTTATTAAAAATAATTATTTCTTGGGGAAGGATTTGTTTGTCTTTGAATAAATTTATATCAGTGGAAGGTTGGAACCTTTACAAGGGGTGCCAATAATTGTGGAGGGCGCTGTATATAATCAAATGGCAGGCAGCCTCAGCTGGTAATCAGGTCATCATGCAGTCAATAAAAGCAGGTCAAAAGTTTACTGGGACCAGTGGACAGGAAAACTGGAAAACTCAGAACAATATTTCAGAATGGCCGGTTAACTTGTGGCCAACCAACTGCCACCGAGATCCAGACGACCACCGTCACTGTCAGCCTCCGGCTCTTCACGGAGACTCTAAGCACGCTCAGTCCTGAACGCTGCCGTCTGAGTCCAAGGGCACTGTGCAGCGGGTGAGACTGGAGAGGTACAAGCCGGTCACCATGGGAACCAAGCCTGCTGACACCCTCAGGATTTTCAGCACTCTCTGAGCGGCAGTGCTCACTCCCTCTCTCGTCTGCACAAGGAGGACCAGAGTGGAAACAGGAGGAGAAAACACAAAGATCAGCCATTTAAGGACAAGGAGAGTCTATGCTGTTTTGTCCTTTCAGCAAAGTACATAACTTGCATTGCCTTCAGAGAATCCAGGTATCACTGCAAGATATAAGATATACATGATATGATATGATATGATATATGATATGATATAAGATATATATGATATGATATATGATATGATATGCATCTGTAAAGCACCAAAGTGTTCCAGGAGTACCAGATAAATGCCCTGACTGCACTCAGAGCCCAAGCTTGCCTGCCTGCCTGCCTGCCTGTCTGTGTCTGCCTGTCTGTGTCTGCCTGTCTGTGTCTGCCTGTCTGTGTCTGCCTGTCTGTGTCTGCCTGTCTGTGTCTGCCTGTCTCAGAGGACAGCAAGCTTGGACATGCAAAAAGAAGAATTTCAATGTACCTGTACTCATACAAAATTGCAAATATCGTATTTCCTCAGATAAAAACCATGATTCAGTTAAAAACAGAGTTTCATATAACAGTCCGAGGTGTGGTCCACAGGAACAAATAAAGGCCGGGCCCCAAATATAGGCCGGGGGGGGAAGAGGGAGGATAAACATTCGCAGGCACATTTATATGGAGGGTGTTTTGTAATACTATTCAATAAACAAACATCATTGAAATGAACATTTTAATTATTTAAATAACAATTTAAATGATACTAGCAACCATTAAAATCAGCTGTCAGACTCAACCATCAAACTCAGTGGGTGAGCTCTAAAAGTTTACATCTCATCGGTTACACTGCAAACTAAGTCACAACAGATCAATCTCACCTAGTCGAATGAATTCACATGTATAACCGCATATCATCTGTTCCATCCCGACGCTATATTACATCCTAACTTCCCAAAATCTTAAATAAATTCTCCTAACTTTAGGATGACAGTTAAGCTGTCCTAACTTTCACTGCCCACCACAGCGTTAGCTATAGCTAAACTTATTTAATCTATATGGCTGCTCTTTTATTGCTCTTACACAACCAATAAAACGTAAGGAGCCTCGCTCAAGACATAACAAATACTATATATACTGTGGGTATGAATTACAGTAGTCCCCCTGTATCTATGGTTTCATTAATTACATTGCTCTCATGATGCATGACATTCTTTCATTGATCCATCATCACTTGAGAATTAAGCTAAAATGTCAGAATCCCTTTCATTTGAGACGATACAGTACTGTATAATAACACTTTATCATTACTGTAACGTAGGTAATATGTGATTGCACGTAATTTATCATCAGACGTCACCATATGTATATACACGAAAATCAGTGTAGCAGGTCTTTGGAATGCATCACCCATGGTTATGGGGGAACGACTGTAGTAAAACGTGGCCTCCAATTATATCGTTTTTATCATTATGTCATGAATGGGGCTGTGTATTGATCTTAAAGTTTATTTAAGACATCTTAAAGTTTAAACTAAAAATGAATTGACTAAGCAGAATCGACCTGTTGTACCTTAGTTTGCAGTGTAACCAATGCAGTCGTACATTTTGAAGGAAAGAGAGACACCTATAGTTCAGATAGAAATGTGCATCTAAGTTGCATTTAGTCAGTGAGAGCATTTCATGAAACGCATGTTAATAAATACAGAAAAATGCTTATTATCTGATAGACAACTAACATTCAGAATTTGTTTTATCAAGGTAAACTGTTTATATTTAGGAAAGATCCAAGTTTTTCAGATTTTGCTTGTAGCTACATATGATTATTAGATGTTTAACTGTCATAAAAAAAGGAATGTCTATTAAAGATAATATTTGGAGTAACATTGATTTTTTTTGTTTTTATGCTGACACACCTGAGTGTATTTACAATAAATACCAGTATGTGATTTGTCATACTACACACAACGTAAACTGACCGTGTGATTTACATGGAAGTGATGAAAAGTTAACTTATGAATACAATTTCAGAAGGCAGTTACTGATATTGTTAACCAGCTCTTAAATTTTTGATGGCCTTGTAATACTACAAGTCTACTATTTTACAGGCTGTACCCAGTGTGTTTAACAAGGTTCAAACTGACACATTAGTGGCATACAGGTCATTCATATATAGAATGTGTATTAACAGTGTAATGCAGTAACAGAGGGAAGGCCTGCCTCTAATACAAGCCTGCCTCTAATAAAGGGCAGTTACATCTGCGGCTTCGGTAAATAAAGGCCCAGTTGCAATTTCAGGATATACGGTATTATTTCATTTTTCTTTTTATTAATTTAAGCAATTTATCTGAGAGGGGGGGGTCACAAGGGAGCCATATCTAGAAAGGTAGCTAGAGTACTGTTAATCGCTTTGTCGTACACACAATTCACCACCGACTCGGATTTACCGGAAAACCATTGTCCTTTAAGAAATGCCCAGCTGTAAGTCAGCAAAGCATTACAGCACTCCGAACATAGCTAATCTAAAATCTTTGTTTGCATACCTAGGATACCACGATTCATGATCTAATAACACCATTAAATAATTGGTAAATAATAATTGGTATTGCAATAGGAGAATTTAATACCCACTCATCTCAATTAATGGAACTGGGTCAATCTGGAGCTTATCACAGAATTCAGATCCAAAGTGCATGTACCAAATGCGGCATATTTAACAGATGAATTTCACAATCCTCACACAAGGATCGTGTGTCTTCCCGATCCAGTTGGGATTATGTAAGGAAATGCCGTGCCGAGGAAGCGAAACACACACCTGATCCTCAGCAAACAGCAGGGGGCAGTGCAGAGAACCAGCCAGCTTCCTGAGGGAGACCAGTCGCTCATCAGGGACTAATCCACAACGCGCTAACAGGTACAAAGACACACAAAGAGGAAGAAACCTTCAGAATACCTGCTTGTCATTAATTGACCGAAACAGCAGAGAGGTTGTGGGGTCAAATCCCATCTGGGAAAATGTTATTCTATCCATAAGCCAGGTGCTGATGACCACAATAACTTCAGTGAATGTGCAGGTATACAAATCGCAGGTCTTTCATTCCACAAAACAAGTGAACAGTAACAACTCAAGCCTCTTTGTTCCTGCTGGAGAAGGATGAATATTTACATATTTAGCGCAAATAGCACAAGCTGTCGAGGAGTCAACTAGGTATAAGTACAGTTAGGCTGAGCTTACAGTGAATGCCCAGGTAAAAGTATAAGCAGGAACAGGAGCTAGACAACAGCTACACATCTACAACCAGCTATTAACAAAGAAAGATCCTAATGAGGCTATTCAGGGGCTAGTAAGTGCAACACAAGAGCATTCAAAAAACAATCAAGTTAGTAAAATAATTCATGGAACAGATGGGTTGCGCGTACAGACGTTCATGTAATGTTATTCATTGGAATGTATTTAGCAGAAGGTGTGCCGATGAGGCCACAGTGCAGGAGAAGCTGGTGTCACTGAATCAAATGGGGTTAAGGGCCTTGCTCAAGGGCCCAACAGTGATATGCTTAGTTTGCCGACCCATGGGATTTGAACCAATGACTGGGCACAGATCTCAGACCTACTGAACAGTTCATATTTACAAGGCGGGAGGAAATCACATTAAAAAATCACTTACCACCAGTCACGAGGAAACATACTTTGCCCAGAAAGTAACCAGTGTCTAACTGCTTCAGGGAGTTCTCCGTTGAAACAAGGCTGAAAGGTTTGAATTCTTATGTTAAAAATACAATATCTGCAAAGACAGGTTGAGGCTCTCTGCTTTATGAATTAACCCTTCCAGTCGTGCAAGATTCACAACTGCACAACTCATAAAACACCTGGAAAACTCACTGGAGACAGAATGAGCTCACCCCTGCACATATTGTTTACTTAATTCTCTTGTACTTTCACTAGGGGACAGCAGAGGGGCTCAAACGCTGGTCTCGCAGAAAGGCGACAAAAGTTGCACAATAGGCTGAAGTGTCTCCTGGTGAGGCCTGCAGGTTTTTGACTGCCATAACACAGGTTAGCTTCCTGAAACCCCAACATGCTTCCCTTCTACATCTGTTACCCATGGGGTCTTGCCCTACTTCTGACACTAATGTAGGGTTTTGGCTGGAAAATTACCCTAATTTCATTGCCAATAGACTGACACTCCTAACCAAGACTTCTCGGACATTATAAAAGCCTTTAATATTAACAGCAGTCACTTGGCATTAAATAAGAGAATGCATTAAAAAAAATCAACACTGTTCTGCATGCATACTGAGTACCTAAGTTCAGAGCTGAGGTGCACTATGAAAACAACCAAGTCGATTCGGGGTCTATTCTCCTCGTTTTCAGCCGGTAGGGGCAGCCCTCGAGCCAGCCGCCTAAAAACAGGTATAAAAGTACTCAGGTTTAAAGACAAATGACTGATGTTATACAGAAGAGGGTAAGGGCACAAAAGGACAAAGCGAAGAGAAAAGTCTGGACTGATATGGCTCCTGGACAAAAGCACTAAGACGTGTAGGGATGCAAGGTTATTGAATTTAGGGATGAGAAGCGGGGAGACGGACAGAGAAACCTACACTGTAACGTTGACGTTGTTTTCTTGCTGGACAATAGCATCTGCCAAGTCATTCTGAAGCTTCCCTTCGTTCTCCACCAGCTATGATCAATCGCATCAAGAGTATAATGAAACCCACTGGCGTTCAGACACCAATTCTAGATCATTCTTAGTATTATGAAGACATACAATCTTATCTCCTGAAAAAAAAACTCGATCTAATATCTTACTTCCCCCCCATGTCAAAGAATGAGTTCATCCGCAGGTTAGCTCAATTTCTTTTCGTGAGCAGTTAGACATAGACTGTTATGCATAGTTATACACCGGGGTGGCCAATCTTATCCACAAAGGGCCAAGAGTGTATGCTAGTTTTTCGGATAACCTTTACGTCACTAATTCAAAGCCAGATGTGAGAAATCTTCTGCGAAAACCCGAATACACAGCAGGCCTTTCTGAATAAGACTGTCCGCCTGTTATACACTTATAAACGACTGCCGTAAAAATATACTACTCACCAGTACGTTTGCAGTGTTCAGCTGCGGCAATTTAGAAAACGGCTTAATCGAAGACATTCCGTCTATGTATCAGGACAACAAAACAAACACATTATAGGTAGCCACCGACCCGGCTACTGAGGCGACATAAGGACAACGTCTTAATAATGTTAAATAGCCGTTGGTCAGTGAGCTCTTGTTGACAAGCTCAGGAAAAGCGCGCCAACAACATTCGAACGTGCGTGAAATTTACGTCTTACGTCACAGAGACGTAAGTCGACCCTGACTCTGGTGTGCTACGCGGGGACGCTCACGCGAAATAGGGAAGTGTGACAGTCATTTACGGCTTCAAAATAGATGGGGTTTTGGTGCATATTGGAGACACCGAGGCGCAGATTGCTGTATAATGCTTTTTTCTACAAGTGCTTAATTCATAACCTGACTGGGGACGCATCTGAGTCACTTGTAATGCCCGACGCTTGTACTGTGTTTACAGTATAAATCTTTACGAAGAGGAAAGATGGTTAAAAATACAATGGAGAAAGGTATGATCGGATTTTTGTTAAGTGTCCGACGTAGGTGGCATATTTGTCTCACGCCTCCGGGGGTAGCGGTCTCACCTCGTTGTGCGTTGTGTGTCTCGCAGGTTAAGGGCATTTCTACATTTCCCAAATTGTACGAGCGCCCTGAAATTGACTGGCTTAACCTTCCAGAGTGTACTGTACTCATGATCTGTGCCGCCCCTGTGATCCTGACTGATACAAGCAGTTGGAAGTTGAATGGAAAAATAGAATGCAATTAGAATATATAGATGCGCTAATACAGTATGATAGTCAAGGTGATGGGAAGCCAGTTTAATTCTGAACTTAAATATAAGGGCCAATGTATTTGCTACATAAATGGCCCCTTTTATACTTTATCTGTAAATGTAAGCAATTCTCCCAATGCTCTTCCATCCATCTTTCTTCCAACTGCTTTTCTTGATAAGGATTGCAGATCTGGCAGACGTGCACACTGGATTACATATGGCCCTTTGAATTTAGGACGTAGTTGTAGATGTAGCTACACATTTTCACCACTTAGCGCTGGGTCTGCTGGGTTTTCTGCTGCTGGACTAATCTCGGTTTTCCTGTTGCAGTGGCCTTCGCCTTGTTTTTATTCCAATATCTGAACAAAACCAGAATGAGAAGTTTAGCCAGACTGCGAAAGCGGAGGAGGTTCTTGGAGCTGCTTCATGCCAACCAGGTCGGGGTGCCGGTTCCTACTGCTGCAATAAACCAGTAGGGCTGCACGATATACCGTTTCAGTATGGTCATCATGAGGTACACGTGTGTGATGTCATCATGAGGTACGCGTGTGTGATGTCATCATGAGGTACGCGTGTGTGATGTCATCATGAGGTACGCATGTGTGATGTCATCATGAGGTACACGTGTGTGATAATCACATCACTGCCGCCGGCACTGCTTTGGGTCTGTTGACACAGCATGCGCCAACACCACCAGCTTATTTGATTTACTCTATTGGTATGTAAGTTCTGCTTGGCTATAAGCTATACGGGGGTGGTATGTGGCTCAGAGGGCTAAGCCTCTGTGTCTGAGATCTCAAGGTCGCCATCAAGCCCAGCCTCAACACACCTGTGGGTCCCTCATCAAGGCCCTTAACCCCCAGCTCCCTAAGCACCGCCACAGGTGGGGGAGGGGGAGGTATGAGGAGAATTTCTTCACAGGGATCAATGAAGCGTCAATAATTATTTCAGGAAATTTTATCTTCTTTTTCAGTATTGTATTACTTTCAGCAATTTCACATATCCCAATGTAATATCATGCAGCCCTACAAACCACTGAAGGTTTAAAATGGTTTTGAAATGGTTATTCCAATTATGGCAGGCATTTGAAAGCTGTCTCTTCAAACTATGACTAAAAACCCACCTCTTTTGGAGGTACTTGGATTAGCACTTCCAGGATTATACTTGTATTTAAAAAAATGTATTATTTGCGATGGGAGGTTTTTAGATTGATAGTATTCTAAGTCAGGGCCTGTTGAACCAGTATCGGAATGTATTCACTGGTGAGACTCCTAAGCATTTATGCAAGTCGCTCTGGCTAAGGGCGTCCGCCAAATGCCGTAAATGTAAATGTGATTTAGCTGTGAGTCCAGGCATAAAAAATGTAAATATGTTTTTTTTTTTTTTTTTAGTTTCCAGTTGTAGTTCCAACTTTTAGTAGGTGATTATAAATATTTATCAATAGTAACAATGTTCTTGTTATAGGCAAACCCCTCAGTTTCCTACGCCAAGCTGAACCGGAACGTTCCAGTTCTGCAGGTGTATTTCGACCCGGAGCAAGATCTCTGGATGCACTACAGACTGAGGCGGCGAAGCGTGAATGAGCTGATGCAGGTCACTCATCAGGAGAAGGACCATGGCTGGGCCCACCATCTGGAGGTGCTGGTGTTCGCATACTGGTTGGCTCACGGCCTGTCGTACAGGGCCACGGCGCAGACCTTCAGCGTGCCCAAGAGCACAGTCTACCGCATAGTGCACAAGATGGCCCAGCAGATCAAGAAGAACCTCCGCAAAGTAGTGTCACTGCCCGACCCGGAGGAGCTGGACGCCATCGCCGGCAGGTTCGCCCACGTGGGCCGTCACTCGGCTTTTGGAAAAGCCGTCGGTGCCGTCGACGGCTGCCACTTCCGGATAAAGCCTCCAAAACAAAATGAGGCCTATTACCTTAACCACATGCAGTTCCACTCCATTCAAATGCAGGCAATATGTGATTCCCAAGGGAAATTTCTGGACATTTTCGTTGGCTACCCTGGGTCTGTGCATGTCTCTACCGTGCTGCGAAATAGCCCCGTTTACCAAAATGCTAGCTACCCACCCCCAGGGTACTTTATTCTGGGTGAAGAGGAATACCCATGTTTGGAAACGCCGATATGCCTGATCACGCCGTACAAAATGGCCTCCGAGGTGAGGGCTGAGCAAAAGTTCAACGAGAGTCACTCCCTGGCGCACTCCGGTGTCCTGCAGGCCTTCGGCATGATGAGAGCCCGGTGGAGGTTAACGTTTTCCAAGCCGCTGGAAGTGAGCACCGCCTTTTGCTCGGACGTCATCACGGCGTGTGCCTTCTTGCACAACGTCTGCCTGATGAATGGGGACTTTCTGAGGCCGGAGCACGACTGCGAAAGAGCCAGGAACTTGGTCCCACCTCCCGAAAGGCTTCAGGCCCAGGAGAGCAGCGGGTCGCATGTAAGGGACCGTCTGGCAGCAGATGTGCACGCTACGCTTCCTCTTCCTGTTCACTTGGAGGATCATGATTACTGTTAACCAAAATGTCGACGTTTTTCCAGAAATTATTTTGGTTCAAGACTGAAAGGCAATTGCTTTGGAAATATTTTGTAAAATGAGTTGTCATAAATAAAAAAAAGTGCCAAAAAATGTGATTAAATTGTTATGCCTAAACAGCTGTTTATTTAGCAGATGCTTTTATCTAAAGTGGCAGCGGGATCAGCCAGTCCCCGGAGAACTTGGAGTTACGGGCCTTATCCAAGGGCCCAACAACACAACCACTCTGTTGACTATGGGATTTGAACTAGCATCCTTCCAATCATGGGCACAGAGTCCGAACATGATGAGCCTCATGACACCATCTTAAATGTTTGACCCCATTCTGACACACATTTTCCAGTGGAAGTCCTTTTCTTAGAACCTATTCGGTTTAGTCACCTCATTTACTAGGTAAAGACGTCTGCCCTCCCTACTAGGAACAGGAGAATCAGTACCACTCAGCCCTACTGCTCACGCTAGTCTGTGTCCTACAAGACCAGTGTCCTGTCACCAGTTTTAAGGCTTGCCGCCCTTTTTATATATCCTCCTGAGACCCAAGGAAAAAAAAAAGTGTCCTTCAATTGTAGGTTATTTGTCTTTGGAGGAAATAAGACATCTTACAATTTAGATTTTTTCAAATTTATTCTTATTTTAATTTCGCAGCATGTCCTCTTTAGTGCACAACAAGAATAAATACGTTTCCCAACATCAGTGAAAAAATAAATGCAAAAATACAATGTCCACTACAATGGACATAAATGAATAGGTCGGGTCTCAGGAGGATATAGACCTACCAATTTTTACAAACCCCACAATTTCAACGGAGGGATCTAGGCTAAAACCAAGGTTTACCTATTTTTTTAAGTCTTTATTTAAAAACAATCAATACACAACTATTTTAGGACTGATATTTTAACACACTGCTGGAAAACAAGTAAAAACAATATTGTTAGACAGCAAAGTTGTAGTGTGTGCTCTACATCTTTTCCACCATTCTTTCAAAGGCTGAAAGCAGTCTGTTCATCTGCCTCTGGTTCTCCTCGTGTCTGGCTGTTTCTCTGGCTTCCGCGTCTTTAAACCGCTTCTCTTCCCGCTCCGACTCTTTCTTCAGGTAGTCCAACAGGCTGCTCCTCTTCCGCTTCTGCCCAATGGAACTGGTGAGCGACTGCTCGCTCTGCTCTACGCTGTCATCCGCCACGAAGCCGTCCGTGGCTGTGCCGGAGGTCCATGCGCTGAAGTCGCCGGGATCCTTCGTGTCGTCTGTGTCGGCGGTCGCCATGGGCAACGCGGCCTGCTCCGTGCTGGTGCAGGAGGCGATTACATGTAAAGGTTGTGTGGCGGGCTTCTGGCAGACAGCAGCATGCATGGCAGAGAAAAACGGCCACTGGTCTGCCATGGCTGCCATCAGGTCCTGACAGTAACAAAAAAAAATATTCATATATAACAAAAACAAATGGGAGCCATCCCAGGAACCCCAGATGCCAGTCCAACACATGGCACGAACCCTCAAGTCAACATACAACCTCACCACACACACAATGAATACAGGATCCAAATGCCAATACCCTGGAACTATAATGCGACAGCGCCACCTACTGCCTCAAATAATAAAAAAAATAAGAACACAAGTTTACAAACGAGCTCACTTGAATTCAATCTTAAAGTTAACATCTTATCTAACTCTGACTTAAAGGATCCCAAGGTTTTAGAAACTGATAACGTACCTTGTACTTTTTCTTTAGGTTTTCCCATTTTTTGGCAGCTTGTTTGGCGGTCACTTTCCCTTCCAAGTCCATTTTCTTTATTATTTCACTGCGTAGACAGTGAAAATGCACACATCTGTACAACGTAGGTTTACACTGAGGTGACACCTGACATTTTCACAACAGTAAAGTACACATTAATAGTTG